CACCCGGGTTGTAATGATTCAACCCGGGTGACCCACCCACCCGCGGGTGACCCGGGTCAAAACACTAGTTTAAACCTTCTAGCTCGTTATATGTTATATATAGAAAGGTGACGGTGGATTAATAAATGTAAAAAAACCATAAGTACGTATATTTTTTTTTAGTAAAAGAGAAAATTCATTTTATTAAAATTTTAAACAATTTTTTTTACAAAAATATTTTGTTACAAAAATGTGATAGTCTTGTACATATGAGAATGATTCAAATAAATGCTAAAAATGTAAGTATTTTTTTATTTAGGTTTTTAAAATGATAGTAAATGGTTAAGTAACTACTCGTGAGCAACAATAAAATGTTTTTCAAAAACATTTTGATTGAAAAAAAAAATCAACATTTCACATGAGAAATAGGTAACGAAATAATGAAATATTTATATATATATATAACTAATTATTTACCACGCGGAATCTTTCATCGACAAATTTATTTAACATGCTTTTCTTCCATAGACCCTATATGTACTTCTATAAGCATGATTATCATTTACTTCAACATCTAATTTATCAATTAAATGTTTAAATTGTTCATCTGATATATTCATAAATGGAGCCAAAAATGGTTTGAAACCCATAAGAGCACATTGGATATTTAATAGAGCCTTGTATACGATAAAATAAATAAGGAATAAATAAAATGAAAATATTTTTAACAATTAAATTAAATGAAATACGGGATAAAAAACTTACGACTTGTCCGACTCTACCAGCCCATTTTCCTATCGGACTACTCCGTTCCTCACAATGAATATCCGTGATACGATTTGATTTTTCAAATATGGACTTTATATCGAAACTTGAATGAAGTTTGATATTTTTTGATTCAAAAAAGCTATTATCTTTGAAAAATTATAAAAACAAAAACATAAGAAATAAGAAAAAAAAAAGCAATATAATGATTTATAAATATAGGAAATATAGGAAATACCATAGTAAATATAATAGTAAATATAATAGTAAATACAATAAATAACTCACATGAATCTGATAGTAGTTTTGATGCAGGACCAATATTTGTAGATTCAGGAACAACATTCATAACCTCTACCCAACCATCATATTTGAGGACTCTTATAACCTCACTCATCAATAGTTCCCAATCTCGTTGAGTAAAAGTAGACATAAATCTCATAAACACAAAGTCGAGTGTATTTTCCGGAAATGGCAAACCTTCAAGAACGTTGTGCTGTAAAAAGCCAGCATTTGGAGGGCAGCTACTTGGAGAAGGAAACATTGGAGAAAAGTCCACACCAACGAACGTTGAATTTGGATATGTGGTACTACAATCCAGAATCCAAGTTCCATCGCCACAACCAATATCAAGCACAGTCATATTTCCTTTTTCTAATTTCTGTTTTATTGGTGAAGAAAAGTTTCCTTTCCAGACTTCATAACCCCAAAAATGTTGAGTTCGTAATCTATCTGATTCTTGCTTATCATTAGGGAAATAATAATTTGCATTATCTTCGTTATGGTATCTACGACCGTCAATAAATCTAAATTGATCCAGGCAATTTAGACTTTCTTCATTCGGATACATGTTGTTTTTATTTGTGTTATTATTATCGTGTGCGTTGGTACCGTTCATTTCTTTGGACTAAGTGGTTGGAACACAATGAGAACAAGAGAATACACGAAAAACAGAACTTTAGAAAAGTAGCAATAAGAATTGCTAAAACTGACTGCTATATATATATATATATATATATATGTATGTATATATATATGTGTATATATATGTATATATATATATATATATTTGTATATAGATATATATATATATTTGTATATATATATATATATATTAAATAAATGCTTTCAATACATGCAAGAAATACTATGATTTCTATATTTAATATAACAAAATTAAGAGTAAGTAATTTTGTCTTACTTTGATCTTTTTTTTAGTGGGTTAATAATCTTAATAATCCATGACATTTGAAATACAATAAATACGAGTGGTTAGAATGTTGATTGGTTTAGAATTATCGAACGAATGCAAGGAACCTTTTTGATGCTCAATGCATATTTTTGATTTTCAATGAAGGTCAAGATTTTCCTACAGGCAATAATTGTTTATTCATATTTTTTCCCATGCGTCTGATCTGACGAATTATTCGGTTGTACTTAAAAAATACATTATTATGTCATTATGCTAGACTCTTACGTTTGATTATGTTAATAAAAAAACACGTATGCAAAGATGACAGAGTTAATATGTAGATTAATATGACGATGCGCATCTTACATAAATGCTTCAATCATATTTGTACGTTAATCCAGAATATCAAGAAAATCAAGAATATATTTGTGGTTTACTTCGTCCTGAATAGATAATTTTAAAAAAAGTTCTGGTGTGATATGAGGTGTGTACATAGCTAATAATAAAATACGTAGTAAAGAAAATGATAAAATAAAGAAAATAAAATTATTTATCGTCATGAAAAAAAAAGACAATCTATTGCTATCGTAACAAATTTTGGAGTTTTTTTTGATTCACCTATTTAGAAATTATAAATAGCAGAATTTGATTAGATTATCAAACCTGGCTCTCTAATACATATAACAAAATTCAAACATGTTTATAATTAATTGAGGTACATATTAGCTATATTTAAATAAAGATTAATAGCAAACTATGTACAAAACGTAGAATGCATATGGTTATGTATATGCACTTATATATTGAACTATTAAACAGGCTTTGTTGACTAACAACGTTTTATATTTTCTTTCACATGCATTACTTTTCTGGCCAATCTAACTAAAGCACATAATTATCCGGCAGGTATTATGTAAACATTTTGACGGAAAAAACAACCATATTACTTCCGTGGATAAACATAGTTCTGCGATAAACATAGTTCTGCGACAAACATAGTTCTGCACCAAACATAGTTCTGCACGTTGCTATAAAAAATACATTACAGAAAGACCTCTCTAAATGCATTCTATAGATGTACGGATATGTGCCTATGTTCTCTTTAAATGCACTTATTGACTCGCCCCTAAGTATATATAGCTCTTGTAAATCGCTTTTTATAAATGCAAACCCTCTTTAAATGCACTGTCTTGTCTAATCATCTATATGGTTCCGATGAAATGCACTTAAGAGATGTCTTTCTGTACTTACGTGAAACTTTTAATCTTTAAACCCTGATTACATCATCATATTAAACCTCTAAATTTTGAAATTTCCGTAACCGGTTAAGTTTTGTATCTCGTTATGATTTAACATTCAGTTAATTATATCATTACGATATTTTACCGTTAATTTATATTACGATATTTTTACGATAGTTTTATACGATTTATATTACGACTGATTTGGAACAAGACGCACAATGTACACGCGGTTTAACTCCAGCCGTCACTCTGATTGAATATTTGATCAAATTATGTGATCAGGATCTTTATTTAACTTTATTTAATGGATAACTTGTAACTCGTGTCATTTCGCATCGATAATTTGGTCTTTGCTGAAGGTTTGTACTGTCACATTAGTATCACATGATTAAATTCCATAGCTGATTTAGTTGTGGTAAGTTATTCATATCTATAAAATAATATGTTTTAAGCATTATATGTATTAACGATACAGTATATTACAGTAATTATTGTTGCTGATATTGAACATATTTTAATAAGAAATTTTAAATAATTTCTTATAGTTAGGTTAGGGATGGCATGTGATTTAAATCACGATGATATAAATCACTGATTTTTATTTTAAATCAATTTAAAGCAAATTTAAATAAAGATATAACCTTTGTAGAACATTGTGTTATGTTGCATCGGAGATTCTGTGGATTTAAAAATCGTATTCAAAGTCAGAATTTGAATATAAATAATGGGATTACGTAATAAAGATCAAATGGTTTAAAATCACAAAATTTGATTTAAATCATGATTTTTGCCATCCCTAAGTTAAGTTAGAATCTAGAGCAATTCATAAAAAAAAGTATAGTCAACTCTTTTTATAACAAACTGACTAAAACACTTTTAAAAGTTCCTTATAGAATAAATTACTATGTTTATATACCGAACTTTATAATAATTTTTTTAAAAACTTCGTTATAGAATAAGTTCATTATATCTAGAGTAGTGATGCAGTAGAGTCTGGTCGTCACATTGCCGTAACTTGCCGTAACTATAGTAAGTAGTATAGTAAGTTAAGGCATTATAGCCGTAACTTACTATATCCGACATTACTTTGCTATAGTTACGGCAAGTTAAGCAATGTGACGCAATGTGACGACTATCATTGGGACGATTCTACTGCATTACTAATCTAGAGTTAACTATATAATTTTGAGCCATGAATGCTTTTGGCATTTTGGCTTTCAAAAGTATCTATATGAGTGCTGTCAATAGAAAAACCTGTCATCGGGTTTTCAATGTACAGATAGCTTTCTACTACTGTCTATGGATAATCTATCATCGGATATTCAATTACCCGTATTGTCGCGAAATAACGCGCAGGGGTGAAATTACGAATTTCGGTCTAAATTAGGCTTAATTCGGGCCATTATTCTAAATAACGCCCATGCCCGTTACTTCGCGAAAATACGGTATATTTCGTGCCTGATATACGGTATGTCCGGCACAATATATAATTGAATATCCGATAATAGATTGTCCATAGACGGCATGTAGAAAGCCAACTGTACATTAAAAGACCGATGGCAGGTTTAGTGTATATTAAGCTGCTGGGTTATACCCGGACTTTTTAAGAACCGGCCCTGGATCGGACCGAACGAACTCTTCCTTGTTTTTAAATCCGGTTTTTTCAAAATACATAATAATGAGGTGCGCGTTAGTTCGAGACACGCATGGGCGTTATTTTGATCTACATATGCTATTTTTTAGAGGGCATGCCCGCTATTTCGAGAATTTACGGTAGATTTAATAGATTTAAATAGAGTTCTTTAATTTTAACATTAAACCAACCTTAGTATTAGCCATTAAAACTTTATATACAAATATAAGTTTTCATGAAACTTACATTTTTTTTTTAAAGATTATACTAAAGCAAAATAAAAAATTTTTAATTATAAACACAAAAAGTTTTGAATAAAAAGTTTTGAATCACCATCGATGGTAATCACTGGTAATCGCTTGAAAGAAATTAATCGATTATAATCGATTAACTATTTGCAATCGATTATAATCGATTAGCTGTTTGCAATCGATTATAATCGATTAACTGGTTGCAATCGATTATAATCGATTAACTGGTTGCAATCGATTATAATCGATTAATTGGTTGCAACCAATTATAATTGATTAACTAATCGGGTTTCGATGTAGCGCCAAATATTTTCGGCAAAGTCCACAGTAGTTTCTACACCATGTATAGTATTTTTTCGGTTGGATGACGAATTGTAGTTCTGTTTATTTTCAAGTCGACCTTGGTTCATTAATTAAAATTAGTGACTTATTTTTATATACTAACGTTCTTGGGTTTGATACAACCTAATATAGTACTTTATCCTAACGTTAACGCATGCTTTCCTTTTTTAGTTTGTATCACTTGCAGAAATAAGTATTCCGTTCGCTGCACTACATAAGTACGTATCATAAAATATCTGTCAGATCAATATTTGTGTCAGATCGACGTTACTAAATTTGGTCAACTTTAGGCATTTAGCGATAACGATAATGAATGAAATTATAATAAGATATTGTTGCGCCCATCTAAAGATGGTTAACTATTTTTACATTTATTTTACACATTTAAATTTTGTTTTTGGCAATTTTTTTTTTTTTCGAAAAAAAAAAGGCCGCACGCCATACATCTATTACTGTATCATAAGTAATTTAGAGATTAAATAACTATACGTACGTACGTACGTATGTGTAAGTGTGAAATCATTGATCAAGGGCGTTCTCAAACATTTCTCTCAATGAAATCAATAAAGAATCTGATTGCCAGTTTGATATACAAACCAATCAAATTCTTTGTTGAGTCCATTGAGAGAACGCCCAAAGTCGCACGAAATTTCATTATTGCGAGATTTGCAATTGTAAAAATTTAAATTTTTATTAAAATTTTTATAATAAAGTTTATAGAATATATTTTATATATTCTATAACGAAAGTATACCTTATATCATTAATAATTTTTATAATTTTTTAATTAAATACTTTTTTAAAATTCTAGGCAAATTCGCCTGAAAAATAATTTAAGGAATTTTATAATCAATGATTCGACTGAAATATATCGCATCTTTATGAATAGAATATGTTGTTAATTGTTTATTTTCAATTTCTCTTCCAATTGATTCCCATCGTTTCTCTTCAGCAATACCAAAACTATTTGAAATTTGTGAAGGATTTGGATCATCACAAATTGCTGTAATCCAGTCACATAATTGTTTATTTAATTGACTCGATGTTGGTCGATTTTCTGGCTGTGGATCCCAACATTGCTTCATTAAGTTACGATATTCTTCTGGCATTTCTGTTTTAAGTTCTTCGCTTATTTCGGGGCGTAAGTTTTTACAACAAATTTCATAAGCTAGTTGTTTATCATGTGCTCGATTAAAATATGGTTTACGTCCAGTTGCCAAAACCCACATAATTATTCCAAAACTATAAATATCTGAAGCGGGATTTGGCCGTTGGTTTCCAAGTATCACCTGTGGGTCGATAAATGGTAAAACACCTATTATTACATCTTGGGGAATTGATTTGTCTGCTGGTCCGTGAAGTCCAATGTCTGCTATTTTTGCATCTGTAGACACTGCTTCATCTTCAATTAGGAGATTTCCTCCATGTAAATTTGTGTGGCAGAGGCCTTCTGAATGAATTTTTTCGAGGCCACTTGCGATTCCCCAAAGAATATCTGCTATATCTCTCCAGCTGATAATTCCTTTGTTATTATCTATGTATTCATAAAGATTTCCATTTTCATAATATCGCATAACAAACATAAAACATCCTGTTTCATCTCTTGTTATTCCAAAGCAGTCTGCCATTGAACCATTTTGAAGACAGTTATGATATACTTCAAGCTATAAATTAAAGAAATATAAATATTTATTTATTGAAAAAAATCATGTAAATGAAATAAAAATAATAATTCAACATTTTTGAAACATACCTGTTTTAAAAATGTCATGGAAAAGTTCTGTGAATTATCAAGCCTTTTAAGTGCTACTTTAGTGGGCCCACTTCGTATCCAAGAATCTTCATTTTCATCCCAGACCCAGCGAGGCCCGTCCATCCAATATCCTAAATACACATTACTAAATCCTCCTTGACCAATACATTCTATCATTTCGATATTGTCAAAATTTATGTACTCCAAGTAATCACAAACTTGCGTCGCATTCATTTGTGTATGTTGAATTAATAAATCTATAAATTTATTTCCACTTTTCCAACTCGTGAAAGCCAAGCGCATATATTCTGATTCGCAAAATTTACACCATCCATAAGAGACTCTTATACGATTACAATCTGGGCAAATACGACTTTCTTCACGACAGAACTTGATACTTATGTTATTATTTTGATCCATTTTTTTCTGAAATTTGTGTAGAATGGTGCGAAACCGAATATAGATTCCTTTTATAATTTTTTTTATGATCATGACTTATACAAAAATGGAAATCTGAATAAAAATACATTTTGAAAAAACGAAGACTAAATGTAATCCCAAAAGGAAATTTTTTAAAGGATACAGATTTACAAAAATGTAAATATTTATATTCAAAATGTAATTTAAACAAGAAAGAGTTTTTTGTTTTATGAGCTTTTATTGTTCCTCTTTTCAATCTCTTTGATAATTATGAAAAATTAATGTTTATTTCTTTTATATTTCAACATTGTTCTGTTAACCATATATAGATGTGGGTTGCCGAGGTTGAATGATAAAACAAGGTAATCCCAAAAGACTCAATGCGGAGATAAAGTTTTTATATACATATACGTTATAGAAAAGATACATGACATGCATTTACAATGCACACATAGCAATGAATGTTCATTATTTAACCTTTAAGTGTCATTAAAACGACCTACATATTCACATTCATAGCATTCAGCTTGCGCATTTTACATACGTATCGATATGTACATCATACGTTCCATTGTACGTAGATTTTAAATTTGGATTTCCGGATTTCCTTATATTTCACATGCGTTTATTGTTCGGAGCTCGGATAATAAAAGTCCGATCCCGCAAATAGATAATTCAATAGATGTGTAAAATCAAAGTCTATAAAGTTTATGTTGGGTTAAAGTTTAGGATTAGATATATATTGAAATCCACAAGGAACACTTTTAATTAAGACGCAAAAGTCGGCTTCATAGGTAAAATTTCAAGTCACAGGAGATTTTGGTTTAAAAAACATTGCATTGCTTTTAATTGTTACGTTACATTTGGTCCTGAAATTTCCTATCTTTTGAATTGTACCCAAGCATAAAGTCACTTCAAAATTTTTAAAATAAGCCGGCTCAAAAATAAACCAACACGCTTTGATGTACGGTCATATGGTTTCTAAGTTCTTATTGCTATATTAACTTTCACGCCAAATCAGGCAATTACTGTGTTGGTTTAATAAAACGAAAATCTCGGACGATCTATTTTAATCGATTTAATTTGTGTTATCACGAGTTTCGACTCACTATAAAAGTCTTATACGTATACATAGTTTGAGTCAGTCCTTTCCAAGTATATACGTAATAGCATTGCAGGGACCATAAAAATTTAGATTAATTTATAGAGTCACTAATATTCATTTTCTTTACGTATATGTAGAATCCGTAAATTCATACTATTTTAAGTTTTTTTAAAGATAACTTGACGATCATCTGCCATTCAACCAAATCCAATGAATTTTTTATTTTGTTTTGCATATTCATGGATTCAGAATTTAATTCTTGAAAGAATTCAAAACATTTACCAAAGAACGACCGCTGCAAAAAAATTTTTTTAAAACATTTGAGCAAAGAAATTCGATGAAATATACCTCATTTTTATTCTATTTGAATTTTATTTTCACTTAAATTCCTGAAAAAAATTGTGCAAAAATATCTTAGCACAATTGTCTAACAAATGTAATGAATTTGTTCTTTGTCTCAATTCTACATATTTGTTGAGCCAAAATAAAAAAATTTTCATTGAACTTAATTGAACTGTCTTCGTCAAAATTTTATTTATTGCAAAATGATGTACTGTATCTTTGATCAAGCTTTGTAGATCACAGTTCACATGTACAATCATTTGCAAAGTGACTTGACAAAAATTCATTACAAATAAATTTTTTATAATTCATGACTTTCTATATCCATGTCCTTGAAATAACACCCATATTCTCAAAAAAAAAAAGTCTTACAATCGCGCAATAGCTACGATCTGCAACATTTGATTAAAGATACAATCTGCTCCCGCAATAATCACACTCTCAATAGTCACGATTTTTTAAATCAATATACCAATCATTTATGGCTATTGTAAACAGCGACAAAGCATAATGAATAATAAATCTATTTGGATCAGATCAATGATCATTGTCATATTATCAGAAATCGAGCATAGATTCTACGGATAAATTAGCGATGCAACCAGAGCTAAGCCAGTTATTAACCAACTACAGTATATTATCGATCAGTGGATATGTTTAAGGCATATCGGCGGATCTGCATCATCTGATAAATAGAAAAACCCATCAGTCATAATTTTGGTCAAATTTGCAGATCATTTGACCAGATTTGAAATTGGTTTAT